GAGAGAGAGAGAGAGAGCACGTTATTGAATGCTTCAGTTTCACATTCACTTGCATAGTTGCATTATTATTGTGCTTCAATAGTCGAGCATTGATTAAGAAATTACTCCATTTTGTAGATCATCTGCAAATAAAAAGTGCTATATTGTTGTTTAATTTGAGAGAAATTTATATGTGAATATAAAATTAGATAATGTGAAGACAAAATGTGCTAATTGCTTGAGGCAGCTATTGTGGACTTTTCATATAGCGTCATGATCATCGATTAAAATTCTCATGATGATATGATTAAATTCTATGTCATGACTATGATTAAATTCTCTCATGTCATGATTGAGAAAATCTTTCATAAATTTGAGGATCAAATGAAAGGAAATTTTTTTACGGATTCTTATAATTACTTTTTGCACGCGTGTGTATTCAATTTCAATTTTTACAGACTTTTTAAGACATTCAGAATTCTTTCTCGTGTATTCTTAATACTTTTAAAGACTTTTGAAAAGTTACCATGTATTTGATTGAGACTTTTAAAGAGGTATTTAATTAAAACTTTTTGAAAAGTCCCTATACGTCACACCTGTATTCAAAATAGGAAGACTTTATGATAATTTTTTAATTGTGAGACTTTAAAAGAATTTTCTAACAAAATTACAAAGAGAGAAAGTTCCAACAGATATCTCATCAATATTGATGAGATTTTGTGCACTTATGTGACTCCCTTCACACGCCTTTTCATTTCTCTTTCTAACACGACTTTGTATCTCATATCACTTCAATTCTCTATTATTTCACTCATTTATTTTGATACTTTGTAGACTATTAATTTTCATTACGTATATTTAACGTGATCTTTATTTTATATATTTTTTTATTATGGTTATTTTATGTATATATACCTTTATTCTCTTATTTTGGTATCTTGTGAATTTGACTTTTCAAATGTTAAATGCTTCCATAGTTTGAACTTGGCAAAAATTTATTTGTTTTCTCTTTTTATTTGTCAATTTTTATTTTTAAATATTAAAAAAATTATTTTATTTTCTAATAGTTTCTTTGTTGATATTGAATTATTTTAAATATCATTGATAACTTTATAAAATACAATTACTGCTTTTCGACAATGTTTGTAACTTTCATAGGTCGAATCGTTGAAGCTCAGATTGACATGCTCATTTAAAAAATCCTAAATCCTAAACAATTTGTTTGTGAATAACTTATTTCGCATAACAATGAGTTGATTCATAAATTTTTAGAGGATTAGTATAAAAATATTTTTCTTTCATTTATTTTCTTGATATTAGTTATTATGTTACATTTATTAATGTTTCATTCAAACATAATAGTATAACTACAACTATATAAAAGTCTGTATAAGTTTTAAAAAGTACATTATGAAAGTCTTAGAAAGTCACTAATAAAAATGCTTTGAAAGTTTCAAAAAGTCCACCAAAGTCATGAAAGTTTTACAAAGTCCACAAAAGTCACAAAATTTAAAAGTTGTAAAAAGTAATTAAGAATCTCAATTCAATACAACTCCCTAAAAGTACTAGTAGTAGTATCTATTCTCTCATATTCTTTTATTTTATTTTATTATTTTTTTTTGTCATTTTGGCATTACTGACCATTAATCAAATAAGTAAAATTTTAGATTTCTTTTTACATATTTTTCTATTGTTACCCTCAGTTAACCAATAATACACTACATATTTTGGGAGAAAAATTGTGAAACACGATGAGTTTTCTCTCCTAAAAGAACATAAAAAAGCTGAAAATAAAGAAATTAATTAATGTTAATTTACTTTAAATAAGGCTTATATTGACAAAAAAAATAATGTGTTAAATGACAAAACGACATTTAATAAAATAAGAGGAATTATAATAGATTTTTCGTACCCCAGCTAGTATAGCTTTTCTTCTTTCCTTCTTCTTGATTTTAATCTGACCCGGTTCATATATTATCAATCTGTGACAATATAGATTAAATAATATTATTTTAAATTATATAAAAAATATTTTAGATAAATTAAATAATATTATTTTAAATTAAATAAAAATATTTTAGATTAATATTTTATGAATTATATAATATTTTTTTAAATTAAATAAAATTATTTTATACTAAATAATATTTTTGAATTAAATAAAATTATTTCAGATTAAATAATATTATTTTAAATTAATAAAATATTAAATAAATTATTTAAATTAATAGTTTATAAATTAAATAATATTATTTTAAATTAAATAAAATTATTTAAATTAAATTTTTTTTTTTTGGACATAAAGACATTTGAGACCAAGGATAAATTTATCACACTTCAATGGCCGGAGTTTTTTTATCCCGCCAACAAAAATACACACGTACGTCAACTCATACCACGTCATAAGTATCTTTATCCCAACGATAGTAAAAAAATGTATAAAGGAGAGATTCATGCAGCTGTTATGTTTTATGTATAAAGGAGAAGATTCATGCAGCAGACAACTAAAGCATCAGCACCAGACACGTTATAATTTATATACATCACTTCACAGTCCAACCATATTTGTCTTGTTGTGATTTCACATCACTTGCAAAATGCACCCACCAATCAATCAGGCAATCCAAACACAACCTCATCAAACCAGAAACTGTAGAAGAAGAAGCACACAGATTTGAATTTCACATCAAAATAATCACAACCAAGTACAATACAACAACACTAACTCTCATACAAAACCTCAAACAAACTAGTAACTCCAGTAACTAATTAAACTTAAATGTTCCACGCAAACAAACAAGCCACTAACCTCATAAGTCATAAACACGAAAAAGATCGCACACACCGTCGCCAAGAATTTACAGACCCGAAAAAATTCTAGCACCAACAAAGCACAAAATATCAAGTTCATAGAACTTTTTTTTTTTTTTTT